GAAGAAGAGGTGGATGATACTTGGGACTAGGGGAAGAGGGAGAAGATGATGGTAGTGATGATGATGATGATGATGATGATGATGATGATGATGATGATGATGATGATGATGATGATCATGATGATGATGATGATGATGATGATGATGATGATGATGATGATGATGATGATGATGATGCTGATGCTGATGCTGATGCTGATGCTGATGATGATGATGATGATGCTGATGATGATGATGATGATGATGCTGAAGCTGATGACGGTGATGGTAAGGAGGATGAGGTGTCCTAGGAAGAGTATGATGGGAACGAGAGGGAGGATGGGGGATGCGATGAATGGGGAGGAGCGGCAGATACGGAAGGCGGGGATGGGGGATATGAAGGGAGATGAGGTGGCGGATGATAATGATGATGCCTATGCTGATGCTTATGATGATGCTGATGCTGATGCTGATGATGATGGTGACGATGATGCTGATTCTGACGTTGATGCTGATGCTGATGCTTCTGCTGATGATGATGCTTCTGATGAACATGATGATGCTGTTGCTGCTGGAGATGCTGATGCTGATGATTATGGTGATGTTGATGTTGCTGCTGATGACGACGATGGTGATGATGATGGTGGTGGTGGTGGTGATGATGATGATGATGATCATACTGATTGCGATTAGGATTTCGAGGATGATATCAGTGGTGGTGATGATGAGAATGAGGATGCTGAGGAGAGAGGGACGGGACGGGTAGAGGGAGGAAGGATGAGGATGAGGAGGGTAACAGGAGGAGGGCTCGTATCAATATCATCAGGACTGGTAGGATCAGTGGTAATCCCACTTCAGCAATCATCGTAATGCAGTTCGTCGTGCTGGTAATGCTGATTTCGCTAAGTCGTTCACGACGCATTCTACACCGACTGCGGCTCATACGGCGAAGTGTGCAAGTGATGTGCGCCATTCCGCCGACCCCCAGAAAAGAACGAGCGTCCACGGGTGAGTCCTTTTGCCCGTTAGGATTCGTTTGAGGGGCCAACAGGTGCATCTTTCGGGCCTCCTGGGGGTCTCTTGGAGCCTCCTGGGAGTCTGCTGGGCGCCCGCTGGCGGTCGCGGGGGTCCTCTTGGGGCGGAGGGCTCGAAGTCTAGGTTCGAGTTCCCCTTTTGGCCCCCCCCCCCCCCTTGAGGCTCTCGTGGGCCCTCTTAGGGCGCCTCTTGGGCCGTCTTGGGGCTCTCTTGGGCCGCTGGGGGGCCCTCTTACAGGCCTCTTGGGCCACCCTCGAGCGATCCTGGGGGCGCCGTTGAAATTGAAGGTTGAATCTGGTAAGCATGTACGTTTTCCTTCGGCATTGGGGCCTCACTCGGCACTGTTGAGTGTCCTCTTGAAGCTCTCTGGGGACGTCTTGGAGGTTTCTTGGGCAGTCCTGCGGCTATCTTGGTTGTTTTTCCCGACCCTCCTGCATGAGTTCTCGTTTCGAATAGAGCACCACTTGCGCGTCGTCTTCCTCCCGCCTCCCTTCTCCTGTCCTCCTCTTCTGTCCTGGCTGCCAGCCTACCTCTTCTGTCCTGCCTGCCAGCTTGCCTCCTAGCTCGCCGCCCCACGTGACCTCTCCATCCCTGGGGGGCTGCGATCTGCGAAACTGTCGCCACTTTGGAGGGCCGCTGGGGGGAGCAGCACAGTGACGTCCTACGCAGATTCAGGTTCAGGTTAGATCTCACCATCCCTGGGGGCTGCGATCTGCGAAACTACCGCCATTTTAGAGGGCTGCTGGGGGCTCCAGCACAGTGACGTCGTACGCAGATTCGGATTAGACCTCACCATCCCTGGGGGGGCTGCGATCTGCGAAAGTGTCGCCACTTTGGAGGGCTGCTGGGGGGGGCCAGCACAGTGACGTTGCACGCAGCATCACATTCGACCTGATAATCCCTGGGGGGCTGCGACTTGCGAAACGGTCGACACGTTGGAGGGCAGCTGAGGGGTCCAGCATAGTAACGTCCTGTGCGGACTCACATTCGCATTGATTCCCTTTTCTCGCGGGCCGCCCGGAGACCTGGCGGCGCGCTTGCAGGCGTTTAGATCTCGCATTGAGAGGTGCAGAAAGGAAGTGGAGAAGGTTGCGGGCGAGCACGGCCTTGCTTGCCTCGTGCACTTGCTGTGAACAGCTGTTTTTTTGGAGCGCCAGGGCGACATGGCACGGGCCGCGCTGCTTGTCCAGCGTGCCACTTGAACAGACTGCCACCTTCCTTCCTCATCCTGCCTCTTTTTTGTCGTTGTCCTCTTCCTCCTTTCACCGTCTCACTACTGGTGTCGCGTTCACTGTTCGGCCACTAATCCGTCCTTCTCCTGCCTCTCGTTCCCACTCCCATGTCAGTTTCGAGCCTAGGGCCCCAGTCATCATCCTTCTGTTGTTCTCCGGTGAGTCGTGCGCGCTTCCCATATAGCTTGCACAACCAATGACATATCCGATGATGGCATCAGCCATACTATTTTGGAGCCGCTCCTCTTGTCACT